CTCCTTGTTAAAAGCACTGGCAGCACAAAAGCCAATATAGTTTTGGTTTTCCTCGGTAATTGCACCTTACTAGAAAGCCCACAGGAATAACCTCCTGAAATCACTCAGCATCTACAGCAGATAGCACCTGTGATGTACGTTGACTCAGAAGTGATCTAAGATCACTCTGCTACTAAAATAGAAGGTCCTGCCCTTCTCTGCACAAAAGAAAGATTTTATTTTGGGAGGAAATGCAAGCTGACCTGACCTGCACACAGGCTCTGAATGATTATTCAACATTAAAGAGGTGGTAGGAATGTGCCTTTTGGTGGTGGCAAAGCCCTAGGTCACTTAAGTGATCCCTACATGCCTTAGGAAAGAAGTGACATGCACTATGTTTGGTACAGTAACTACCTTTATTAAATATTTTTAGAATCTATTAGGTGAATAAACCAAGAGAAGCCTTTATTTGAAAACTAATTTTAAGCAAACACTATTTAGAAAGTTAATGAATTTTTCAGGAACATCTCTTTTTTTAAGATGAATTTTTAAAGAACTTTATTATGAGTTACATGAGGTAGTTAGGGGGGTGTGTGTATGTCTTTTCAGTTTGGTAAAACACTTGAGGCTGGATGATGTGAAATCCTGTTTTCTAATCAGAGTCTTTTAAACTGAATGTTAGTCACCATTGCTTATGCAAGGCCATATGAAATTTGGCAGGAAAAAAAAAAGTCTTCTTTAGTCAGAGGACCCAACGTGACTTCAAATTTTTGGACTGTTGTCTCTGCTACACACTTATCCCACCAACGAACACATTCAGCCTTCCCTCTTTGTTTCAGGAAAGCAGAGTTCTCTGATACTTTACTGGGGTATTCAGCTGGTTGGTTTAAAGGAGTTTTTTTTGCTTTAATAACTATTTCCTGTTCAAAATTAATAGCATTCTAGGGAGCAACCTAACTTGTGGTTTCATTGTCAATAATTGAGCAGACCTTTAACAGCCTCAGACCATATTTTTTAAGTTTCTGGGGACATGATTCCGCCCCTCCTTTTTTGAGGTTAAACTCCTATTTTCTCCCCACATAATACATCATTCACTAGAGAGCTTGGTCTAGGAAAAATTGTTTTCAATTTTCTGCTATCCTGCATCTTTCAGCACACTGGTTTATATTTAATTTCCATTTGTTATATTTGTTATCCCACTAGGCAGGGACAGTAAGAGCTTTGTGAAGACTGTTCCTAAAAGTACCAGAAACAAGACAAGACAATATTACAGTGCCATAAATGAGCTAAAGGAAACTTGGTGTAGATTGCAGGGCTTTGACTCTGTCTAATATCACCTTACACTTTTTAAGGAAAATACTATATGGATATTTAGTCCTGTGCTGTCACAAGCCCATTTACCCTGCTTTGAATAAGGCAGATGTAAGTTTACAGAAATCTGCATTTGTGACATTAAAGCTACTGCAATGAAAGGAACCACAGTGGAAGTGAATCTACAGGAAAAAGGGCAGTGTGTGCTTCGTGTTCACAGAACTGAAACAAAGGCAGGGTCCTGGAAGGGATGGACAGAACCCCAGGGAATGTGTTGAAGAGATTCCTTAGTATGGAAACCCACTGATTGCGTTTAAAAAATATTTTAAAGAAAAACTCAAAGTATCTTCAACTGCAGATCTACCCATTATGGTGTAGAAAATCCTATCATCTAGCTTTTCATTATAATGTAGTCTCTTTACTTGCCTGGCATAAGGGATCACTCCAATTGTTTGGAAATCATGGAAATGCAAACACAGCTATCATGAAGAGAATTTGTAGCACAGCTCTAAAAGTCAGTTGACAAAACTCACCAATGAGAATTTCCAATTAAAATAACTGATTAGGAATTAATTCAGTTCATCAATTTACATTTTTATCCTTGCTTAGGATACTAATAACATTTTAGAGTGATCTCAGAGCAGTTTGATGTCAGTTTGGGTCAAGTTTGCCTCTAAAGTAGCCTCTCAGTAGAGAAGAGAGTTTTTTGTTGAAAATGTCTGTGTGGGAATGCTTGTTGGTTGTATATTAATGTCTGTCATCAGAGAGTAAGGATTTAATGAAGACTCCAGTGCTGTTGCCCAAGGGAATATTGATTGAAGGACAGCAACTTGGCTTGCTGAGTCTTTCTTGCTCTCCTATACATAAGTCACATGGAGCAGGCCTCGAGAAACAGCAATAATTCTGTACATTGTTTTACACAAAGCCTATTCTGCCCTGTCCCAGCCCTGCACCATGGAGGTTATTTGAAGAGCATCTACACAGAAACTTGTTGCACTGAAATTTTTAACACTGAATTTGCATTAGGCTGCTACGATCTCTATTCATGACAGTTGCATAAAAATGGGCACAATATTTCAAATTACAAAAGCCATTAACTTATAAGAACTAAGTGCCAATGCTATAAATCAAAATTCCAAGTAGTTATTTGTTCAAGCTAACACTGAAGAACGAGAGGAAAAAAAAAAATCACATGTAGTATTCCAGCAACATCTATATTATAACCAAAGACTCAGAATATTTATCATTTCTGTCAAAAAAACTCCCATTATTTTACCTCCCTTAATCATCCAATCTTTACAAACATAGCATTATTTCAAAGAAGATGGAGCACACCTGCTGGCTGCCCCTTCATGGGGAGGTCACAGAGTGACAAACACAGGGGAGAAAGAACACTATAAATATTCTCCATTCCTAGGCTCCAGATTTCCTCTTTAAGTACTGGAAATAATCTTAGTAAGTTTTGCTTACTTGATTTTTTTTTTCCCTAGTACAGTTAGTTTTTACAGATATTGGATCAAAGTTGAAAACAACATCATCTCAATGAATTTCTTCGCCTTTAAAATAAGTAGGCATAAAATATCTCATTGAGGGAAACACAAATTTCTGGAGGTATTATGTTGCAGCTCATTTTCAAGTTAAAACTAATGACTTAGTAATTATGAACTAAAGCCCTACCCAATTGTTTATCTAAAGACCTCATACCCTGAGTAGGAAACATATTCCCTTGCACCTCATGCTCTTTGACCTGGGGACATGCCATGGAGGTGTCACCTGTTTGACAGATGGTAAATTATAATCCCACATGGGTGACATGGAATAAGATGGAGCAGAACATATTGAGCTATTTCATATCCTTACTTTACCTGTGATAAAGGCCTATCATAAAATTTCATCAGACCAGAAGGGAGAATGACTATTCATGCCAAATTTCCACAGAAATAAACAAAAATGAATGCTGTCTTGGCATATGCTTTACTATCTGAGATGATTTAGACAAGATGCTTTAAACTTTCTTACATACTGGATTTTTTTTTTCTGATTTGTTACTTTCTGCATATGCTATTTTCTCTATTTGCTCACCATTACAGGAAAAACAACAACCTGGCAGCCTCTCATAGGGAGTATTTAGTGTTAAACCAAACACAAGCCACACACAGCTCTGACTTGTAGAAGAAAATAAATTTTACATGCATAAAAGAACAAAAGCTGGATTCCAGCTTCTCATTAAAATCTTAAATACCTTGTAAACACTATACATAAACAAGCATCAAAAAACCCCCAAATCTGATTTGAGGTTGTTTCTACCTGGTGTCTATACCAGCCTGATGGGACCAGCAACAGCCATCTGTCCTATAATGATATTTGAACTATGATATAAGCATGACAATACCAGGCAATACAAACATTGTAAACCACCATTTAAACACCATTAATAGATACTTTTGCAAAACGTATTCAATCAATAAAATATCTCAAATGGAAATCTTAAAAAAAAAAAAAATCATCAATTGCACCCATTTTAATAAAATTTCCAAGCTAATTTGGGAGTATTTAATTTATTTTAGATAACTCCATAAAATGGAAACAGAACATTTCTACAGTGTAAAGAGACCATATTGGTTTTATGGAAGAAATCACGGGGTTTTGAACAATAAGATCAGTTAGAAAACGTGGAAATAGCTCATAGGGTTTGTTTTTTTTTTCCAACATAAAATGTTCTTTAAAGTACTTGGGTAGGTGGGGAACTAGTACATCCCTGAAAAATTGAGAAGTGGTTCTGCTCTTAGTGAGGACTGTGAAAATGGAATCATGCTACTGCAAACATGTCATTACAAGGTCCTCTAAACCAGGACTTCTCCTTTTACAAAGAAAACCTTTTTTTTCCTTCTAAATGTCAATCTGCCAATTTACCTTTAAGCACAAACAGCCAAACTGATTTTTCCCTTCTCAATCATTCTGGTTAAAAATTACAGTTATGAAGGTCAAGTTAGTCCTGAATGGCATCTGCATAATGTGGTTACCTCCAATTGGTTTGCCCCTAATCCAGCCCTCATTTTCATCTTAATTCCTTGTAATTAGTGGCATATCTATCTTCCTAGCACAGTGCCAGCTGGGGTTTTCTCCATTTCAGACAAAGTGTGAATCCTTATAACCTTTTTAGAAAATCAGTTCCTCCTGAAATATCTCAATATGAAGGCAGTAATCAGCATAGAAAATGCCTTTCACTCCCACTGCCAGGTGAGTGTGCCCTGACTCATAAATGCTCACGAAGGCCAATTCTGTACCTAGAACAAGATAATCTGAACAACTCTGGCTCATATGGGAAAAGTACTTTGTCGTGGTGGTTTCCAAAGTTTTATTTAAAGGGATAGTAAGATAAAGGCAAACCATCAGCTTTTTTTTTTTTTCCACTTTCCAGTATATTCAGACTGAACTATAAGGTAGCTTATTAGAAAAGAACTTTGTCTTATTTCCTTTTTTCTAGTCTGTTCTTTGTTCTGACTAGAGAAGAAACATAGCAAATCTAAACTACCATGGGATTATTATCCACTTTGTTGGAATGAAGCATAAGAAATAGCAAGTTTTCCATAGCACTGTAATAAGCACCCTACTTTCCCTACTGTGAGGAGGAAGGGAAAAAAACCCAACCAAACAAAGAACAGAAACTTAAACAAAAACATTAAGATAGATAAGCTACTAAACCTTACCTTGCCAGCCTGGCTTGCACACTGGTTTGACATTAACTCGTACTAAGACATCTTCTGTTGCGTGTTTTTGCCCACAGTCAAAAGCTGTTACCATTATCTCGTACTGGTGCTGTTTATCATAGCTCAGTTTCTCAGTGTTCCTGATGTTACCTGCAGGTTCAATACAAGCAAACATTCAGAGATTCATTCTTGGCTAAGCTTACACAGACTGTAACATTTGGGTCCTGGTTAATCAAGTCCTTTGTGACTTCAGGTTCTTTGAAGCACGTGGGACACCCACAGGCAGGACAGTTATGAGGAATAGGAAGTATCCTCTTTAAATTCATCAGAAAAATAAAGATCATCTTAGGTAAATATAAGATGCTGGGGATATAATGTGGGCAAGGATATATTGGAAAATGTGCTCAATAACACTGTTTAAGTAAGACAGTATGACTAACTAGCAACCACATCTTGAAATGTAAAGTATGAGTAGGTGCACCCTCATCTTCTACATTGTCACAGAATACATTCCTTCAACGTGTCAGCCACATTCCTGAGATCCACTGCTGAGCACCTGCCCAGTCTAAGGATCTTTCTGTTTTTCCAAAAGCTATTACCCTTCAGATGAGAGACATTTTTAGCCCTTTAACTCCTTTCCCTGGGTTTTAAAAATAGGAAGAGCCCCAGAATCACCTTCTGCATTACAGTGTTAGCAGTCTTTGATACGATACCACATGAAATAAAACTCAGCAACAACAGGGATTATCTGCTGAACCTGACACACATATAAAGGCAACAAATTACCTGTTTCAGGAACAAAGACATAGGAACTTTCAGAAGGGAAGGGAAAGATCTTAGAGTAGTTCATGCAGGACTGGAAGAGTACTGTGCAGAGTGTATGTTTTTGCCATTAACACGTTCAGCATTTTAATTCTGTCCATCTGCACTGAAATTTGCTTCTTGTACAAACTGAAACTTCAGCCTGTTTAATAAGTTTCACACTTTTGCTCAGGGTTGTTCGTTACATCAACTCTTTGAATGAGGATTTTTGTTCTAGAATTCAGGAAACAAACTTACACTGGATCAGTGCTACACATAACAACTGCTTACAGCAAGGATCAGCAAAATCAAGTTGTTTGGGCTAAATTTGAAACAAGAATCCTCAAATCCTGGAATTTAGTCAAATACAGCGAACTGATTCCCACAGGTGCTGGTCAAAGTATCTGTTGCTAGGCATGCAATGTTAGGCATTGTTTGCAGGTTTGGGTTTTCTCTTCTTTTCTTCTCTTTCTCTTTTCATTCAAATGAATGAAAGACAGGAAAAAGCAGACAACTGCAACTTCTTAGGAAAAGTCTTTCACTAAACCTCCATTAGTTTGACAAGAGTTTTAGCAGGTGTGTCTCTCTCTCTGATGCACACTCCTTATCTTGTCAGAGCCCACCACTTTTCTTTCTACTACTCCTACATTAAACCAGCTTTATTAGTTTAACTGAAACTGTCAGGCCAGGCCTGAAGGAAGGTTGCTTTTGCATTTATCACCATCTTCAGGTTCAAAATCTGTAGTCCAAACAAACCCTTACTTAGATCTGCAGTTAAAATCAGACCCAATACCCCATTTGCTGTTGGCTTTGAGTCTCCCTTCCTTTCAGAGCAAGCACAGAGGAGGATAAGCCCTCTTATTATTTTTATGTCTCAAATGGAGACAGGAGACTTGCTGAAGGCTAATATGGAAACAGTTCTGTGTCCCACAGCTTTCTGTGGTTCTGTCTCTGGAGTCCCTCATCTCACCAGGCATGTTCAGGTCTGCCATGTAGATTCCTCTCCCCTCCACAAAAGCAACTGCAATAACAATACCAACCACTTCATTGTTCTTGAATTAGCAATTGGAAAAGCAATTTAATTTACCCCTTTTACTATCTTGAGTTGCTTGATTAGTAGATGCTTAAGAGCATTTAATGAAAAGCTGCCACTATGTATACTTAATTACTGATTTGATATCTGCTCAGTTGTTCTTTCCTTTCTGCATTATATTGTTTCTTACATGAATCTTTATATTTCTCCATTTGCTTCTCTTTGGCATTATTTTAGTCCATAATCAGAAAGAGAATTCTCAAGAAACCAAAATGGCCTGAACCTACACTAGCAGACTGCTAGAATTTGTGTGACACATTAAATGTCCTACAAGACTAATAAATCATTACAACATATATGCATTTAACTAAATCTCTCTTCCAAGATATCTATTCCACTGTGGTCTTTTAAGATTTGGACTACAAAGATTCTCACTATCACATGTTATTCTGGAAGGTCATTTGAATGTCTTGCAGATGTTACCCAATAGCTTATTGATTTCCTAATAATTTTTTTTGTTACCTCTAATCCTTTATGATTGTTTGGTTTTTAACAATTCAATCAATATGATTAAAAAGTAGACACAGAAGGGAAGCACTATAAATACAGACTAATTAAGGTTTTAAAGACGATACTCTGAAAGTTTCTATCCACAGACAAACAGGGAATTTATTATTAAAAAAGAGAAAAATGTAATGGGAGAAGTAAGTATATTTCTACACAGTTGACAATTAGGTCATAAAATATTTTTTTTCCTACTCTTCCTAAATATCTGCATTTTCCTGGAAATACCCAGAGTTACAACAGATTAAAACCCCAAAACCCAGATAAATTACTACAGGAATAAAAAAAATCCTGCCTGATGACACAGACATTTACAGCTCTGTTTCTTCAAGGTCCGTTTTGGGGATAGATTGATACAGACATCCCTCTTTTATGGTTGTCTTTCACCTTACTTTGGAGCAGTCACAAGAACGGGGAAAGACTTGACTCATTTACTATGGCAATTCCCCCTTAAATTCCACACTTACTTCCTGTGTGCATAAAGAGTATAAAACTGAATCTCTTAACTCTTACAGGAGCTGACAGACAGTGTTACATGAGTGGTCTGACTCAAGCCTGCTCACAAGAGTGGCAGATCAACAGTTCCAGGAGCCAAGAGCCACCAGGAGCTATATTTGACCATAAATCCATTGAAGGAGTAGAATTTCCTCCTGTCAAAGAGGTTAATTTTTCAACAAAATTGGAAAGAATCTGTGATTTCATAGAAAAATAAATAAAAAATGCTTAGCTTTAACATTTCACTACCGTTCTGACCACATGAAGTTTGCACAGCTCCTACCACAGGTCTCAGGGCTGCAAAGGAGGAGACCTTGTGAGAAATGTTGTTACCTTACAACAGATCTGAATTGTGGTTTAATTCTTCTGTCACCTGAAAAAAGCCTACACAAAATTGATACAATAACTGAGTTGATGATTGGGCCTCTCTGCTAAGAAGAAAACTACACCAATCTGCATGCAATAGTACTTTAAAACATATTCTAACTTATACCTTTAGTCCCAGTTCTTTGCAGAGCAAAGCATAAATTCGTCCTCTGCCTTTACATGATTGTATTTCATGCATACGAGTTCATTACCCTCCACGTTAGGCTCATCATGTACAAGAGCCAATTTTATAAGTGCTGTGGTTTCATAGCACAACGTAATTTTATTCACAAGGAAATCACATACCAAGGGTCAGAGTTGCCAAATGCAAAGGGGAAGCTTTATATTACGTGCCTTTAGGTGTCTAACTTACAAATATAAATTTTCAAGACAATAAAATGCTCCATGCATGGAAGTAGATACCAGAAATAAGTTTGGTCCAAAAAGACAATGATCTGTGAAAATAAAAAGGGCTGATGGAGTAGCATGTTCATCTTTCTACAGATCTGTGTTTTTGGTTAGTTTCATATGTTGGTGGTGAAAAAATCCACTGTTTGGGACAGACACTTGCATGTTTTTCTCATCATCACCCACCACACCTGCCTCGCCCCTTCTTTTTGAGCCCCCTGCAATGTTTAGGTTTGATTGTAGGCCTGGGGTTATACTCTCTCTGGGCAATGAAATTCCACACTTACATTACTAAAAAGCAGAAAAAATTATAACCTGCAGAAAGACACAAGAAACCAGATTTGTAGTTCACAATGGGTAAAAAAACCCTATTAACAAAAATCCTAATTAGCACAGTATTAGTAGGCAGGCCCAGGCATCTCAGACACCTATTTTAACCATCCTGTAGGGGAAAAAATTGGGTATATTGCCAAAGAATTTGCACCAGAGAAAGTTTATATCAGCTGCCACAGAGAGACATTCTCAGCAGTGAAATTTGCTGGAACTAAGCAACATGTTTCTGTCACAAAATAAAAGTGTAACCATCTATTTTAACTCTGTCTCTAATCCCAGTAGGTTTAAGCAATTACCATTATCTTAAAAAATTGCAAATTAGACTGCAATTACTGTTGGTTGTGGCAGCACTGTTCTTTTAGTGAACAAATAGATCAAAAAATATTAATTGAATTCATGACCAAGAAACTGCAAGTATTACAGCCTTATACCAATTATTCACTGCAGGCTTTAAAGGCATGTTTAAATCAATGATTTTCTCATTGCCTTTGCTGAAAAGCAGGTCCCAGGCACACGAGGACAAAGATGTAACCAAGGATTCCTGACATTTCACATGCTTTTGATCATGCCTCTGACTGTAAAAAAACCATGATCACTCCTGAGGCAGCTGCACTGTGTGATAGCAGCTGAAAAAGCACAAGCAATAGAAACGCCTGCTCTGTGTCCTGCTAATTTCAGTGTATTATTTATCTAGGATATCTGTCACAAACCAGAATGAACAAAGGTATGAAATTATGAAACTTGTGTAAGTACCCAGCCCCACAGGGGCAAATCCCATGGAGCTCTGGAAAAATAATAGTTTCAAACAGAAACGTGGAGAACTTCCTTATATGACAAAATGGGAAATCTCACAGTTAGAAAAAAAATCCACAGAGAGGAAAAGCTTCCAGAGAATTACTCATTTCCAAATGCCCCCTTCCTGTAAAAAATCCTTTGTGCAATTCTCTGGCAAAAGATTGCTGTGCCAGCTGACCTCGTTTACTCAAACACAAACATACTCATCATGATTATACCTCCTATATCGTATACTTGCCTCCCAGTGTATAATAACATTTTCCCCAATGTCATTACAATTTATTGATGCCAACAGGTTATTACCTCGTGATGCTCAGCTGCTCATTGTGCAAGAACTGCACAAATAGAGATGAATAATTTTTCAACAGGGTAAAGAGCTTTTATGAAAAATCCCAACATCAAAATGTCTGCTCAGAGAGAACAGGAGCTCCATGCACACTTTCAATTTCCAATTTGGCCAAAAATCAGATTTAACTTCCAAACAGTGCTCTTCTCTTACATACAATATGGATTAAATGCTTCTGCTAGGAAAGATAAATCAGAGCACTGGTGGGAATGCACACAGGGTGCTTGCTCCTGGGAAACTATTTTGTCTTGTCTGAAGCAAGAGGAGAATGGGAGGGAAGATGTTCCACACACTTTTTATGCAACCCAGCCACCACTCCCAAACTCAGTGTCATGTTCTGCGCTGCTCCCTGATGAGAAGCTGACTGGGAAAAGCAGGAAGCTGACACAGAGGGCCACCAAGCTCAAAAACTGCTGTATGTGGAAAGCTTTATGTGGTTTATTATTTTCTGTATAATACCATATATATTAGAAAAACAACTAAAACCAAAACCCACTAAAAATGGTACTAATTCTCCAAAGCACATTTTCTTCCGTACTGCAGAATCATGGACCTGCTTCAGGAAGCCCCACAAATGGGCACATCTGTGGACCCACGACCCTAAAATTTTAACAGTCAATAAACATATCCAGAATATTGTCCATTCTATATTCAGGGTCTGCTCCAGAAATGGGACTAGCTATAATCCAGTGAATAAACTCTGATAAGTAGGACTGCATGCTGCATTAGGAAATGCCATACACTTGGATGGGAAACTAGATCTGAGATAATTAAGAGGATGGACTGAGTGATAGAGGAACATATTGCTCACCTAAAACTGGTGGTTTAATTTCCACAGTAAATTTCTGTGCTGTTTTCTGCCCAAATCTTACCTAGAAGGGCTGGAATTTCCCAGTGTAACGATTCTTCCATTCTCAGTGATGAGAACAGGATCACTCTCTTGAGTTAACACTCAAGCCAGGTTACCAGGCAGTATCAACAGGCAATTAGACCATCTACAGAAATTGTTGCTCTCTGTCCCAGAATTAGGACTGTTCATTCCCCACACTCACCGTTCCTGTCAATGGCAAAGGGAACATCTGTGGTGACAATCTCATAGTTGCAGATCTGGCTGTACTGGGGGGAACAGTCCTCGTCTATGGCCTCCACCTGCAGGATGCTGTCATAGATCTTCCCCTCTGTCACAGTGGCCTTGTACACGCTCTCCTTGAATGCTGGTGAAAACTCATTGACATCCTTTACCTGGATGTGGACTACTGCCCTAAAATAAGAAAATAAGACATCAAAGACAAAAATTATTTTATCATGACACCTCACTAACAGTTTCTTTTCAAAACACTTGAAGAGACTAACAAAACATATCTGGAAAACTCTGTAAGTACCCATTAAAGTGAGACATTACTGAATTTCTATGTTTAATTTACCCAATTTAGTACCTTAACGTGGCACTAGGTTAAAGTCTATTGCCACTGCTCGCAGGGAGAGGACTTCATGGTGCTCCCTTTTAAAATCACTCTGACCTCTTAAAATAAAGTCAATGATACCATTACAGTGTAAAATGAGCAAAGAGAGAGGAAGAAAATTACAGTAGTCTTACATATTCACTGGCTAAAAATGGCCCGTTTATGAACCTTCTTCCTATTAAATAAGGCTCCTTCTGCTGATTATAATTATCTAATCCTTTAATTAGTTACAACACTGTACATGTAATCCATTGAGGTCTTTAGTATTTAATGAGTAAACTCTAAAGGCCTTGCTTTAAAAAAATTTGCTCTCTAGTTTGATAAGCAGAGTAACAGAGGAATAGAAGAATGAAAGGACTTTCAAGATCAGTGGCAGAGCCATTAGTAAAGGTTGGGACCCCAGACACTGTAGCTTAGTGTGGGGTTTACTGTCAAAATCACTACAAGAAAGGGTAACAAAGTCTGGTGTTGATGGGCCACATTTCATTTAGTTATTACACCCAAATTTTCCACAAGTGGAATGTACCAGTTTGTTACTGACATGAGAGAGGTAAACATAATAAAACTTAATACTTTGAAGCAAAACCTGTTCTGTGATTTGGTGGTTATTTGATATTGCAGGCTTCCTTCTAAATGTGTGTTCTTTTTAAATATCCTGAAAAACTTCAGTATGCATTATAGACCTAATTAAATTTTTAATTGTGCTGTGTCCTGGATGAGCAAAAGGAAGAATGATTACTACAAATCATTTATTTAAATGGCTCTCAGCAAAACGAACAATTTGTACAGCACTTATACATCTACATGAGAGTTAAATTCATCTTTAATGACAAATGGTCTGCAAATTAGTTCCGTGAATGAAAAGAGAAAAAGAAGGCCCTGTACCACTTAAACTTATGTAGGGAACTGGCTCCAGAATAAAAAGTATCACCTAGTGACCTTCAGTACACCTCTCTTTCAGAGGATTTTAGTTCCTCTGAGACTTGCTGTCCAAAAGCTGAGGTCAGTAACACACTGTCCAAAGGCAACACTGCTGCAGCTCAGAGACATGCATATACTAAAAAAAAAGAGGGTCATTTATCTTTTCTTATCTTTTGAAATGAGATGAACAGAGAGAAAACCTATTTAAAATTTGTAATTATTATTAAGAGTCAGCTTCCATGTCCTGGATGATCTGTTTAGTCAATGCATTTAATTATTTTTTTTTATAAAAGCAAGAATGGAAAAAAGCATTTCTCCACTTGCACAGGAATCCTATTAAAAGCTTTAAGTGAAACCATTGTCGAATGGGTCAAACTGCAGCAAGCAAAAAAGAAAAACATCTTCTAAAAGGAGAAAGGAATGAAAAAATGGGTGGGTATTGCAGCAATGGTTCATCTTTGTTATATTTGCTTTCTACCTGACAACAATATAAAAAGGAGACCTTCAATATACCACAGAGCAAACGTTTGCCTAAGCAAAAAAAATATTTCTCCTTATTTTCACCCACTTGTGAGATTTCTTCCAGTTGGTTCCACTTGGTCCTGATCCACAGTCATAGGCCTGGATGATGAATGTGTATTCCTTCTGCAGCTCGCAGTCAATAGGGCTCTTTGCTCGAAGACGACCTTCTCCAGACGTCTTGTTCAGCACAACAGCTTCAAAGGGCATTTCTTGTCCATGGATTTTAAAAGCACATATTTCACCTGGGAGGAATAGCATAAAACAATCATAACAGGGGGGTGTGCAAGTCTTATGCACTGGGGTGACACTTGAGAAGTTCAGCTGGATTTCACATGCTGCTACAGATGGGGAAAATGCAGCCTCAGACATCAGTTTATAACCTGTCCAAAAGGTTCATTAACCATGTGCTTGTACAGCGTGATGGGGAGAGTGCAGCTCTGGGCACTTCCCTCTTCCTCTGACATTACTAAATGGTTTCCTGAAGTCCTAGAGACCATTCCATATGGCACCAACAGCAACGCTGAGCTACATTATTTTGGGGATAAATTAAGAGACTGTATTTACTTAAATAAAACAGCAAAAAGGAAAATAGATAACATTATAGAGGTAATCTTTTTTTAACTGTTGTCACACCTTCCTTCAGCCACTTGAGCTGCCAGGTGGTAGCAGATGTTCAGGTTCTTGCAGTTTAGTTTCCCAACAGTGAGAAAACTAATGGTGCAGAACATGGGCACATTCAAAATATATCTCGCTCTATTTACAGATCTACATCATCTCTGGAACAGAAGTAGCTGAAGGAACACAGAAGAGTGTCCCTTTTGGACATCTCAGTCACCCACCCACATTCACACGCTCATACATGAATGCCTTCTTGGCAGCAACTCACTCTGCCTCCAAACTGTCTCCTAATATAATAGATCCATAGCTTCTCTCACAGGAATACTATATAACAAAACAGATGATACTGCAAAGACTAAAAAAATTGATTTGGACACAAAAGAAAACATAAAGAATCTTGTGAGAATATAAGTCTGGAAGGGGAAAAAAGACCCAGTTTCTGGTTATCCTTTTTTTATCCTTCATACTGATAGGAAGGATATGCACACTGAGTTCATTTTTAACCACTCCAGAATCCAACTTTAAAAATGAAATATTTATACAAAGACCAATGTGACTTAAATATTTTTATGACACATTAAACACATGCTCTTTTATGAGCAAGTCAGGTTCGGGACATGCATTATAGATTCAAAGCTGTCTCCCACTCACATAATCCTTTTCCATTTATTTCCAATTTACAGTTGCAGCCTTCTGGAAATCTCCTTGCCAATCATATCTAAGTCAACTGCCAAATTCTAAATTAACTCTGAATCTATGACCTCTAATTCAGGCCTGGCTCCTCTTTCTCTACTCCTATTATAATATATTGTTTATTTTTATAGAAGAGAGCAGACAGTGGCTTTATAAAAGCGCTGGAGTTCACAATTCCTATTATAGGTGATACAGAAAAAATGGCAAGGGTGTGTGTGCAGGGAGGGTGGGGATTAGGTACATTTAGAGTATAAACACAGGCTTTTTAGGATATTCCCTCAACTGCCATAACATAGGTTTCCCTTTATTATAACAGGAGCTGAAGCTTTGCTCAGTCTTACACTGACATTTAGGCAGATGAATCCCAGGCATACCAGTTGCAATTAATCCTGTGAATGTCTTTATGGGACCAGAACACAGCTGTTTTAGCAATTATGAGGTACTGGAAAAGTATATTAAGTACTTTTTTGAATATTTGCTTGCTCCAACCCCTCATTCAAAGGGCATGAAAGGGCCACGTGGTTTCCCAGGACAAAGATGTGCTCTTTTCCAGGCTCTCTCTTGTTTACCCTCCATGAGCCCAAATATTTGGGTCACAGAAGAAGGAAAGGATCTTACCCTGAGAATCAGCCCTTGAAAAAAACAAATATTTTGCTTACCTATAAAAACAGGCTCCAAAATGTTTATGAACTGTGCACAGGAAACAAAGCATATCATTAAGAGAGGGTTCAAGTGAAGCAGCTTGTTCAGCTTTAATTGTGGGCACTGATCACTGAGTTTAAATCTTAGTTTACACCTTCAAAAAAAATTATCCAAGTTTCTTTGAAACTTCAAAATGAAACATTCATCCAAAATTATATTGGGGATTTCAATTTTATTTTAATTGAATACAAAAACCACCAGTGTAAAGGCAGGAAGGCTAATGGAAAATACTATTTGTTGTGTTCTATAAAACTGGCCTTTGTAGTTTCTTAATAAAGTTTTCCTCAGATGCACAATTCATCAGGAGAAATCCTCACTTCAGTGTTTTGTGTTTATTATTTTATTGATTCACTGTTTGATTGCAAACAATACAGCATTTGCAGACATTCAAGCTACTGTTCTTAAAAAAAATAGAAATAGCTCAGGGTATAAAAAAGTTCTCTCAGCCCCAATCCGAACATTTATCACTTTTTCCTCTCCAAACACAGAGGCCTGATGCAAAGCAATCACAGAAGCAACACACGTTCCAATTAGTTCTCAGCAAATATTTTAGAAGTCTTTATATCCCACTCCTATTCTAGACACTCCAGCTTTATATAAAACTCTAATTTTATCTTTATATCCCCACTTGCCAAATATAAAATAATGACAGCTGCCTGGATATGGTGAGATATTTGTAAACACACTACAAAAAGCCCACACACACTTCCAGAATGTGGCTACAGCAAACTATTAATATGAAAACAACTGTAAATGGTTTTAAAAACTAGGTGATTTTTTTTTCTCAAAGAAAGATTCTACTGCTGTTTCCAAAGAAATGAGTTAACACTGTTGAAAAATGAAAATGTATAGTTTCATAATGCTTTTTAAAAGGTATCTTAATGATTATATTTCAAATGGAAACAATAACAGAGTTTTAACAAAACAGAAAATTAAATAAGGCCCACCTTTATACTGCAGGACACACACATTGACAGATATATAGAACTACTACCAGTAGACATTACAAATAGTGTCTTTAAAATATAACAGGTACTATTTCTAATCGTTAATGGCTTTATTTCAACCCAGCTGAGCTAACCCCAGACCTCCATGATGCCAATGGGAATTGTGCCAATCTTATCTTATTTCCTGGGTTCCCAGGTAAGAATGGTTGAGTAACTCATTGGAGGAAAAGGAGATTGGGTTTCTCTCTCATTCAGACTCACCACTTAAGTTGTGAGTCTCACCACTCAGGACTTTGGCACCCCCTTCCTTTCTTCCCCTTTGCAAGGCTGGAATAATTAGAGTGCAAACTGGGACTCTGTTTTTCTCACAACAGACAAGACAGCAAAATAATGCACTTTGGTCTTCATTTCATTTGAATGGGTTTGGGAATGGGTGGATAGAGAATTTTGTGATCACAAAGACAAAAACAGTGGTGGCAGTGAGTTGCTAAAGAAAGGAGAAGTTGGTGATACCACATAAAGGTAGAAGCACATAAAGGTAGAGGCACATTCATGAAGTCCTATAGCAATTGTGTCCAGGGTACAAGGACTCCCTTTCTCCCATGGTCAGGATGTACATCCTGAGGGTTTTTTCTGGGTGCAAGGTTGAACTCTGTTGAGAGTTGTTTCATTTTAATACTAAATTCTGGACATGTTTTCTCTTTGAATCCTTCAGACTAAGGTTAGCCATAAGAATCTATTAATTTTGAAGTCTACATTACTTTAAGTTGAAAGCCTTGGTAGAGATCTACACATTACTACTGCAGGGGCAATAATTATATAATTTCTTCTGTAAAAATTATAATAGCCTGAAAAAACCTACTGACAGTTCATAATTTCTGAAACATAATCAACAAATTTATCCACTGTTTGGAAATTGATAAAGACATTGTTTCACACTGAGTCACATTTACACGCAAGATTTAGTGATTTTAAGCCTTAATCAATAAAACTGTATTAGAAATTACTGCCTTTTATACCAAACACATGGAAACCCTCGCTTCTTTCATTAGAAATAAAAATTCCCAGTGTTACTGTTTTAGGAACTACACACTCATTCACTTGAAATCAGTTTCAGAAGTTATTATTGGGCATTTCACAGCTACCTTTGCTTTTCCTTCAGCCTCTCATTACAGCAGAAATACCAAAGACTTCAGGTGAAAAGCTGGGATCTCTGACATTTCAGCATTTGCATCAATAGTTAATAAAAGGCAGCAGCTGTATGTGAATCAGCCATCACCCAGTGCTGGTTCATTCACAGTCGTATGAGGTTCAACAAGGCCAAGTGCTGGTTCAACATGACTGCTGCAGCTCCACAGGCTTGGACAGAGTGGCTGGAAAATGGCCCTGGGGGTGCAGGTTGACAGCGATAGAACATGAGCCAGAATGTGCCCAGCTGGGTAAGAAGGTCGATGGCACTTGGGCTGTGTCAGCAACAGTGTGGCCAGTGGGACCAGGGCACTGATTGCCCCCTGTACCGGGCACTGGTGAGGCCAGACCTCGAATCCTGAGTTCAGTTTTGGGCCCCTCGTGACAAGAAAGGCATTGAGGTGCTGGAGTGTGTCCAGAGAAAGCCAACAGAGCTGGGGAAGAGTTTGGGGCACAAGTTTGATGAGGAGCAGATGAAGGAGTTGGGGGTGTTTAACCTGGAGAAAAGGAGGCTCAGGGGAGACCTTATTGCCCTCTATAACCCCATGAAAGGAGGTTGTAGCCAGGTAGGGGTTGGTCTCTTCTCTCAAGTACCAGGATGAGCAGAAATGGCCTCAAGTTTCACCAGGGGAGGTTTAGATTGGATGTTAGGAAAAAAATGTTCACCAAAAGGGTGGGTCAGGCACTGGAAGAGACTGCCCTGGGCAGTGGTGGAGTCACCACCCCTGGAGCTATTTAAAAGACATGCAGATGTGACACTTGGTGGCATGGGTTAGTGGTGGGCTTGGCAGTGCTGGGTTAATGGTTGGGCTCAATGATCTTAAAGGTATTTGTAACCTTAATAATTCTTAATTGGATGCTTAGACAATCATAAAACTGCTTATGGAACAGAGCTCACACTGCTGTGCTCAGGACATGTCTATGTGAATGTACACACATGTATTTGTTCCTGAAACCATTTGTTAATTCCAGCTACATTTCAAACAGATGAGCTGTTTCCCTCAAATGCTATGAAATTATGCAGCTCCACAATTCAGAGATGCTACAGAAATAGTATAAGGGTCACATCTCACTAAACAGCAAACAGAGCACAT